TAAAATACTATAAATCTATTTAAATAAATAAAATTTAAAGGGTGTTGTGCATTTACATTGTTTAAAAAAAAATTATTTAGCAAATAATATTAATGTAAAACAAATATACATAAAATAACAAATAAAAAGATCAGATCGGGTTTTAGATATCTGCCTGATCCGATATTTTTGGAAAATGTTAAATATCGGTGCCGATCCGATATTTAATAACAGCACAGCCCTAGTAGATAGCATAAAAAGTATAGATTTGTGACATCTTGAAAAGAAAACATGATAGATTTTTATAGAAATAAATAAATGAAAATTATGGAAGATGTTTTACAATTTAAAATTGAAAAAGAAAACAAATTTTTTCCTAGAAGAGGGAGGTTATTTCCATAATCTAAATTTCAATAGATATTATGAAAATAAATCATTTAACCACATTGTATTTACCAAGAAGAGGGTGGGGGGGGGTGTATTTCCAACCCACACGCCACTAAGGTTAAAAAAAATATTACATTAATATTAGAACACTATTCTGTTCCGTACGTTTATATCAGTCTGAATCCCGGACAAAAATAACAAAATGGAATCTTTTTATGTTAATACTATTTGTTTTAAAAATTGTATCTGATATAAATTTTCAAAAAAGTATTGATCCAAACCACTGATTACAAGTGCTTATTTTAAGAATGGTTTTATTTTTTTTCTATAAATTTAAAAAAAATTCATAAGCAAAATAATAATTATAAGATTTAAACATATAATATTCAGTACTCATAATCACCTCTGAAATAGATGTTTTTTTATTAGAATGGTCAGCATTTTTCATTACTTTTGGCAGTATTTAATTCAAATTGGGCAGTGAAAAATATAATTTAGTAAGTTTTATATTGATTTTGTATTTAGCCACTTAAATTCTTAGAGCAAGCATTATATACTTCGGTAAAATAATTTTATTTTTATCAAATATAGGAGACCAGGTTGAATTGCAAGTTTCTTATTTCGCCACATAATTTTTATATATAATTATATCATTTAATAGCCCATCATTAACCTTAAAAACAAAAAAAGGGCATATTTAAGAGTTAGTAAAAGTCATGCTATTATTTTTGCCAGACAAATATCAAAATAACAAGCCAACTATTTTTGAAGGCAAATGTGAAAAGCGTCTTATCTCAAACTGATTTAATAAATTTTTAATATATTTATAAAAACTTCATGGAAATGATTAATAATTTGTATAAAAATAAATATTTTTTATAATATTAAAATAAAAATTTGATTTTCAATTAATATCTAAAAGTTGATGAAAATGTGTAAAGGTGAACTAGATTTATTAACTTTCGTTTTATTATTTAAAACCTCAAATCTTCGAGGGAATTTGAATTTAAAATACATTTTGATTTAATTAAGGTATGAATTTACAAATCCGGGACAAAATAAAAAATCTGGGCTGGCCATTATCTTTACTTAGCTTATAATGATATTTTACTTAATATCACAGAGACTAAGTATCCAATTCGTTTATTTTATAAATATTGTTTTGTTCAATTTTCACCAAACCTGATTAATAATAATTTAAAAATTTGGTTAGGTTTAATATTAATCACCAGTGATTATTCATAATTTTGTTTAACAATTTTATTTAGGAAATTTTTTATTATTTTGTTGATTTTCTCAAATTTTAAATATTTTATTTGGGGATATTTTTTCAATTTTGTTAATTTTCTAAAAATAACTGAATATTTTATAGGATCAAAAAAAGGGAATTATTTTCCGGGGAATTTTTTTCTAAAGAATTTTTTTTTTCTGGGAATTTTTTTTTCGGAGAATTATTTTCCTAGATTCAAAAGTATAAAATAAATGGGAGAATGTTTATTAAATTGAAATAATTAATATAAATGGGCTTCGTATTAAATTATTTATCTATTCTTTTAAATTAATTTCTTTAATTTTTAAAAAAATATAATATCACTTTACTTAAGTTATATATTTTAAAAAAGACGCCATTTTATCGATTAAGAAACTTTGAATATCGGCTTATCGATATTTTAAAAATAAATAATCGATCTGATAAAAAAATATCGGTCCGTCCCTAATTAAAAGTTTCATTTTTAAACATATCACATCCGCATCTATTCATATTTTTTTACAAATTATCATCTATTTTTTTTACAAAATATGATTAATTTTTTATAAACTTTAGAAAAATTTAATTTTTAAATCGAATCGAATATTCGTGCGAATAATGAATAATTATTCGATTTGTACTAATTCGTATAACTCATATATTCGTTTCGAGTTTTTGTAGGCCTAATTATGATTGTATTATGCACCAAGAGTTTTAAAGGCTAATAAATGGATGATTTATATAGTTTAAGCAAAAAAATAGTTATTTGAATCAGGATTCGCAATGAATATTCATCAAAAATTAGCTATTTTATATAAAGGGTCATTCCATATCAAATCAATCACCTTACAACCCAACCATCTCAGATTTTGATAAAATTTGGTATATAAGTTATGGAAATGTTGTTTATGACTAATTTAAAATATTAGTCTCTTAACTATATTAGAACCGGAGATAAAGAGCCTCGATGTGGCTATGCTTGGTTATTTTTCAAAAAAAAATGATTTTTTAAAATTGGGATAACTTTAATATAGATGAACTATATATATTTTGACTCATTTTATAGTCTACATATTTTGAGTATTTTAAATGTAATTAATTTTTTTCCAAATTCCAGATATAGTAATCAGGAAAATTCTATTTTGTAAAATCCACTAGATGGCTAAGATATTAATTAAATTATTGATTTTTTGAATAATTTTTCTTCCAAATTTAACGATTCTTCTTTCCAATATAAAAATCTTCAAATCCAAAAAACCCCTTATTATTGCTAAATCCGCCAGATGAAGCTAACTTATCCTCTAGATGGCGTAGTAATTTAATATATTAATTTTTACAATATAAGTCTCTAAGTTTTATATCATAATAATTTATTTATTGAATAAATAATGGTAAGCATATAAATATTTAAAATAATTTTAATTAAGTTTTCTTGAATTTAATTTATGGATTGCCATTTCGGATTCCTCATTAGCTAAAGTCTAAGTTCTTCCCGTTGCTGTCAATGGTTTACAATAGTGAGAATATCATTCTCAGTCCTTTTGTATGCAGAAAAATACCTTATATTTTTAGCCGTTTATAAGCAAATTTTTAACCGGTTAAAAATTGGTTAAACCATGTTTTTAGCCGAAAGTTTTTACTTTGGCTTCGTAATTTTCTTAAAAATATCTTAATGTTAAAGAATTTTCTCCGCCACGCGTTTGTAGATTGAGCCTAATTAGCCAACATTTAGCCATTATATATTTATACTAGTAATATCTTGAATATATTCCACCCATCATTCATTATCATATGAACATGTTATATCATTGGTTGATATTTCGCCTATTATATATTCAATATTATCTAGTTTGGCTTGAATAGCTCTGGAACGAGCGGAGTAGCATTTTTAAAAAAATCTCCCTTTGAAATCTTTAAATTCGCTGAGAAAACTATAAAAAATATTTATTTTTCCTTTGCATCCCATAATGAATACCAAAATGAGTAGAATTTTTAGAGGAACGATATTCAAGAGCTCTTTTCATTCCTGGAACATGCAGTCTATTCTGTTAAATTATCACCACAAAAAATTATTTAAGTGCTATTCAATCCAAACTAGAAAATATACAAAATAGAATAGGCGAAATATCACAACGAAAGATATTAAAGGGTATGTAACATGTTCTTATGATAATAAATGTTGGGTAGCATATATTCAAGATATTATTAGTGAGGCAGAAATAAAGGTGATTTTTAGTACCGTTAATCCTTTTATTATCAGTTAATATCGGATATTCTAATTATCCCGAAAAATGATATTTTCACTATTATCAACCCCCTGACAACCACGGGAAGAATTTACATTTTAACTAATGATGAATCCGATATAGCAATCTATAAATTAAATTCAAGGAAATTTAATTAAAATAATTTTAAATATTTATATTATTTGTTTGCTATTAATTATATAAATATTGTATTATGAAATAAAAAATCTTTTAGATTGACTTATATTATTAAAATGGATACAATAAATTACTTACGCTAAGCTTAGAATTCGGGGCCAGGCAGGTTTAGCAAAAATGGGATTTTTACTGGTTATTTTTTAGGCCCAGTTAAGAGGCTAATATTTTATACTCGCCAAATACAACACTTTATTAATAGTCGGTTCTTAAAGTGATTAATTTGATATGAAATGACCCTAGTATATTCCAGCTCACATTAGGCCTTTAAACTTATTTATTCCCTATAAATTTTATTGGGGGGCTTTAAACCAGCTTTTTGCATGCCTTTCTTTGTTTCGAGTTACATTTTTTAAAAAATAATTTGGGTTCGACACGTTTAAAAAATTATCTCAATTAGAGTCATAACTGATTGTTCACAATGACATAATATTGTATTCATTTTTATAAATGGGGGCGGGTAGAGAGATAATTTTATTTTCTTGAATAGGCACAAACTTGGATATTTGCTTGGGTGCTCACCCTTGGCTACATTCTTGAACATCATCTCATAATGTATATTAGCCGTAGCCTTCGAGTTTTGTTTTATGTTTGAAAAACAATATTGATTATTATCTGCAATCCTAAAACACCGACCCGATCGAGTTACAATTTTTTTTATCGCTCATTTATATTGTTTTTTGATGACTTATCATATTTGTTATGAAGCGTTTTCTTTAAAAAAATTACTAATCAAAACTTTATAGTGAATTTATTGTAAAATCTTATATATAGATGTCATACCCCCAAAAAATCAAGGATTGAAAGATTTCAAATAACATCTCGGGAAAATTAAAATTATTTAAAAAATGGTACCTAGAAATGCTGAGAATCAGCAGCAATTCCAAGTATCGACACGAATTAATTAAGTAATAATGTGAATTATTTTATACTTTTTTTTCAAGCAAAACGCGTTTCTCTTTGCCCGATATAGCGGATACTGGCAGCTTAGTATCACATCGTTCTAAATCGCACCTTCCTCAATCAAGCACCTTCGACGTTTTGTATGACGATGAAACAGCAAATTCCGAAGAAGACACCTTGGTCTTTTCTGACGAACTGCGGCATTTGTCCACCATCGCTTCGGCTTCTCTCTTCGGAGTGTCATCAGCCGGTACCGGGTTTCTAGGAGCTTTTCTCGTGGCCCGATTTCTTCTTCTATCGCCTTCTTCGACCTTCTCCACCTCCTCGCTAGCCTTTAAAATTTCCTTCACCCTAGGTAATTACAATTACATTTTAAAAATATCAGAGATGCAGCGATATAATCACAGTAGATATATAATAAAGCAAAACTGAGGTAGTATCGGTATTGCCTAAAAAAATGATATCAATGCATCTTTGGTAAGGATATGTTATTATTAATATATACCAAATATGTCCAATTTAATGAATATTGAAACTAAATGGTGCTCGTTTCAAGAAGATTATTTTAAAAAAGAGAAAAGTGTTTGGGGTCAGAGCTAGTGCTCGAATTGGTTCGATATCTCAAATCAGACCATTGTATCTTAAAAACTATTATATGGCACATGAAGGTTGCCTGTACGGATTAGCCTATCTTTACGAGCGAGCTTCCTGGACGCCTTTGGCTCGCGAACGTGTCTTCAAGCGACAGTTCTCTTCTCACGGTGGAGCTCGTCTTAGACGCATCGCGTCTCGTGCGGCCTCAAACTGTGCGAGTCATGTGTCTTGCGATGCGCGCCATTCTCTCTCTCGCTTACTCTCCTCTGCTTCCGCTTTCCGTAAGAGCCTCGAGGTAGCTGCACGAACCGATACTCTCAGGCGAGAAGCGTGCGATAAACTATTGGCTGATATTTGCCCGCGTGTCGAGGCTGTAGGTCTTAAATTGACCCGGGCGTTGGACATATTTCTTACCACTTATTTCGCTAATCCTTAAAAACTAATTGAGCAAAAGAAAGATAATATTTATCCCTTTTTTTAAATATTACCTTTAAATACAATTAAAATCAGTTTAAAACACAAAGAATGATTAATTATTTCTTATATCATCTTTAGATAATATATCGAAAAATTTTAGTTATTTCTTTCAAAAAGGATCATTAAGTTTTGATAAAATTGCCCAATTGTCTCTTAATCGTGCTTTTTTAAATAGAGATTTAATATTTTATTTATTATTGTTTAATGTGTAAGAACGACTTAATTTTTTTTAATAATAAATTGACGGAACTAATTATAATATATATTTTAACCTTTTCTTGACGCCTTCTATCCAATTTTATAAATTTGCAGTCTTTTCATTGATATTTACTTTTTTCTTTTAATAAATTTAATTTACCCGTGTAATAAAAATATTTTTTTATTTTTGAATGTTTTTTTTTATTCTGTTTATTAATGTTACAATTATGTTTATTATATAATATAATATATTTTTTACAGTTTTTATCCTTAGCCTTCATATTATGACAAGATGTCCACCATTTAAAAAAAACAAATTTTTCCTGATATAATAACGACCTTGTTGATTATAAATATTATGTACAGTTATATTTTGTTTCGTCGACTTATATATTATAATATTAGACAAAATTTGTAAATTATAAAAATTGTTGTAAATTATAATAAAATATTAATTCGCTTTTTAAATAAAAAAAAATCTCAATTAATATATAAAATATTCAGTATATTATTTAGTAAAATTTTTAGAAGTGAGCACCTCATTATAATGACAATTTTAATTCAGTTCCTTGAGATTAATGCTCCAAGCAAGTATTCGAATATATAACATTTAATATTAAATATTTTTAATTCGTAAATTTTCGCCAATGATATATTTAGAATGAAAGAAGCTATTAAATAAAAAAAATGTTCCAATTTTAAGATGATGCTAAAATATTTGCTTCCGAATAATACCCAATTTGTCGATACAAATATTAAACAATAGATCCATTATTAAGAGAATCTGCCAAGGTTCATAAAGAATTCGATGAATAATTGTATTGCAAATATAGCAACGAACAATCCTTGATTCTAAGAAAAATCTATCATTTTTTTATTCAATGTATATAATGGAATGTTTCCATTGACATTGAAAATATGAAAAGGATATTTATTGAGAATAGTGGAATGAGATTATATAGAAGAAAAGGATTATATAGCTATATTATTAATTCGTCATTATTTAAAATATATTTAAAAAATTAGGCAAAAGAAAACATTCCTTATATTATTGAAATGGCGATAGACTATATTGTGTTTCATAGTACCTTTTTGTCCATCTGAGAGCTTATTCTATTTAGATTCTAATTTTTAATTGATCTTCCATTAATGAAGAAAATGCTATCTTAGTATCTATTTTAAATTTTTATAATACATAATACGTGCAATATTTATTAGTAATTTATATTTTCGCTTTGTGATAGTAATGAATGTGATTTAAAGAAATACGCCTATCATACGCGTACGCAGGAATTTGGTCTGGGGGGGGATTATAATACATTTCTTAATTTTGAATAATAATCTAAGTTTTAACTTATTTCATATCAAGTATATTTTCTTTTTTGCTTAAATATTAAAAATAATCATTTGCATAATAATAATAATCATTTGCATAATGCAACATTACCTATAAAATGGAAATATAAAAAACAAGAAAATTTTGAAAAATGGGAAAAGAAAAAAAAAACTCCTCGAAAAAGAAATTTTATTTATTTTTCTTGAGTTAAAGAAAAAAACATTTTTAAAAATAAAAATTTTTATTATTTTTTTTGACACTTAAAATTCTTGAACCCTCCTCTTCTAAAAATGATACGGGTTTGGTTTGGGTTCAGCCAAAATATTAGTATTCCGAAGGGTTCTTATCCGGGTTCTCATCTCCTTGCTTTTTAGGCTAAAACATGGATAAACCGGATTAGAATTGTTCAAAGTTAAAACTTTATCAGACGCACAATAATAAATAAAGTAATAAAATTTAATGAATAAATTCTAAGAATAAAGGCCATATAAAAATAAAATTTTAATATTGATAAAAATATAAAAAAAGTCTTTATAGTAATGATAAATCATTATCGTTCTCAGAAGTATTTAAATTATACGGTAAAATTAATATATATATATATATATCTAAATTCAAATATGAAAGGGATGAATAATTAGCATATTATATTATATCATATAATTTAATATAATATATACATAATATAAAATAAAATAACGTAAAATTTTATATGATTTATTTATGTGAGTCTTAAATAAAAATGGAAAAGAAGTGAGTTTATTATACATAAAGGAAATTTAGATATAGAAAAAGATAACCAGATTAGATGGAAGAGATAAAACTCCTGTTATTTGGAGCGATTATAAACTATAGCTAAGTAATCCATTACCCGCAACTATGAGATTCTTAATAATTGTCTACACTTTATAGGGTCTTATTATTAATAGATGATTGATATATGAGCAATAAAGATAATATATTAAAATTTTATCTAATCTAAAAGTTCCTCAAGATTATAGGTAAGGGAAAGATTTACGAGTATTGTTTGCTTTAACCTGAGTTTTAAACCATAACCAAAACATGGAATCCTCTTGAAGTGTTTTATTAAATAAGTAAAATAGGTAAAGTAAGTAAAAGTATCTTTAATACAAAATATCACGTATATATATAATGAATTCAAGCAGAACATGAGAATACAACTCTTGAAAAAAGAGTTTCGAAACCCCCACTACGTTATCACGATAAATTCAATTTACAATTACATTTATATTACAGTTCTCCCCACTATAAATTGAATTCATCGTGATAACGTAGTGGGGGTTTCGAAACTCTTTTTTCAAGAGTTGTATTCTCATGTTCTGCCTTTTCCACTTCTTCGGTCAACGTAACGGGTATTTCCTTCTCTTGTGTATGTGCATCCCTCAATTGATCTGCATGCTTGTTTTTAACGATCCCCTCTGATTCCACATCGTACAATATTGCGCTTTTTCGTTGTAACACTTTTCCTTCATGCCACCCTGCTGTTCTTTCGTTTGCTATTCAAACTTTTTGCTGCTCTTCAAACTCCCGAGGTTTAACACTTCTATCTTTGTAGTACTTTTGTTTCCATAGAGCGTTTTCCGTCTTTTCTCTCGTTGATAATTTCCACTGATCTAATGTCGTCCTAAGCGACCTTTCAAACATCATCTCGGCAGGGTATTTACCAGTAGTTGAATTGGGAGTATTACGGTGAGTAATTAAAACATTCGCTAAATTTAACTGGTCCGGAGTCCCACATCTCCTTCCAGCATAGAAACGCGTCTTTATTGTCCGTATATATCGTTCAGCCAAACCATTCGATTTGGGGCTATAAGGGGCCGATCTAAAATGTTTTATATTGTTTTTAAAAAGAAACGTTTTGAATTCAGATCCAGTAAACTGAGTACCGTTATCTGAGACAATGTAGCGAGGTAACCCAAATCTAGCGAAATAATTACGCAGATTATTTATTACACTCGCCGAATTAATATATGTTAAAATTGCAACTTCAACCCATTTGGTAAAAGCGTCTACGCAAATTAACCAAAACTTTCCAGATACGGGGCCTGTCAAATCAATGTGTAATCGTTCCCAAGGTCGGGTAGGAATGTTCCAATTGTATAATGGCACTTCTTTAGCTCCCGGCCTTCCTTCTTGACAACTCTTACAACATTTAACAAAGTCTTCAACATCAGTATCGAGATTTGTCCAAAAAACGTAATATCTACACAATGATTTCATCCCTACTATCCCAGGATGTCCTCGATGAATCACATATAAAACCTCCTTTTTTAAAATATCTGGAATAATAATTCTATCATTATAAAATAATAATCCTTCTTCGAACGAAATATTATCTTTAATCGAAATATATTTTTTTACAATCTTTGAATAATTATTTATATTATCAATATACCAATGATTTTTTTTAATAATCTCTTTTAGGTTTATATCATTGCCCGTTTCACTTACGACTTTACTGCTAGTGAAAGATAAATCTTCTATTAAATTAATTTTTAATCCTCTGATTTCTTCTTCGAATTTTTTTGTAACATCATTGGTTTTTGCTTTCTCTACCCCCAAACGGGACAGAGCATCGGCACATTTGTTATGATTACCTGGTCTATATATTATCTCATAATCATAATTTAATAGTTTCGTCGCCCACCGTATTAAACAGTTATTTGTTATTTTGTTAAGATCTCTTTTATCACCTAAAATATATTGTAATGGTTTATGATCAGTAACCAAGATAAAATGTCTTCCAAAAATATATTGATGAAACTTCTCGATAGCGAACATGATCGCCGAAGCCTCCCGATCAATTGTGGCATAATTCTTTTCAGCCGCCGAAAGTGTCCTCGATGCGTAAGCAATCGGTTTCTCCTGGCCAGTAAGAAATCGGTGTGCAATAACAGCTCCTAGACCATCTTCGGAAGCGTCACAAGAAATCACGACAGGGATATCGGCTGAATAAGGAATTATTGTATCTTCTTTTGACAATATATTTTTAACTTTAGTAAATATTTCATTTTCTTTAGCTGACCAAAACCAACCAACATTTTTACTCGTTAGTCGGTGTAAAGGCGCACAAATAGAATGCAAATTTTTAATAAATGCCTCATGATAATTCACTATTCCAAGAAATGAACGTAGTTCTTTAACATTGGAAGGTGTTTTAAAATTTTCTATAGCGCTAATCTCATCTTCTGTAGGGTGAATTCCGAAACTGTCAATAACATGACCTAAATAAGTGACTGACTTTTCTCCGATTTTAATTTTATTAGTCGTCGTGGTCAGTCCAGCCTTCTCAAATCTTCTTAATACTTCTTCCAAATTAACTATGTGATCGGAATTATTCTCACCTGCAATAATTATGTCGTCTAAAAATACACTAACCATAGGAATTCCCTTTAATAGGTTTTTCATAAAGCGTTGGAATATTATCGGAGCGCTAGTCAAACCAAATGGTGTTCTTTGGTATTGGTAATAACCGACATGTGTCGAAATTACTAAAAGGTTCCTACATTCTGGACTAACTCCGAATTGTAAAAATGCATCTCTTAAATCTATTGTTGAAAATATTTTACCACCCGCGATTTTATTTGTTATGTCGACGAAAGTTGGTAGTAAATTGTTATCGATCGCTAGATATTTGTTGATTGTTAAACGAAAATCTCCGCATATCCGTACGGTACCGGATTTCTTTAAGATATTAACCGTTAGCGTAACCCAAGTGATTGGAGTTATTGTTGGATCCACTTTCTCGATAACGCCTTCGTCTAAATGTCTGTCCAACTCAGCTTCAATGGTTCGACACAACGGAAAAGGAACTCTTCTTGCTGGTAATGCAATCGGTAACGTGTTCGGTTCTATTCGGATGACTGCCTTTTGCAGTTTGATTTCACCTAATTTTTTTTTAAAAACATGAGGGAATTTTGAAGCAATCGTATTTAAAGAGGGAACATTCATATTTATTTTATTAATACGAACTTCTTCCGGTAGTTTTATATCAAATTCTATAATGAAAGGCATCCCAATAATAACGGAATTCTCCCCTTTAACTACCCAAATAAGTAAAAATTTCGAAATATTTTTTACTTTGACTTCTAAGGTACATTTACCTAGTACTTCGATTTGGATATGATTATATCCACTAATTTATAAGCCGGTGATAGTTGTGGTCTGCCAATACGATTCCAGGTGACTTCATCAATCACACTACACGCGGCGCCGGTATCAAACTCCATAGCTAGCTGCAACCCATTTATCTTCGCATCGATGGTTGCTTTATTTGAAAATGACAAGCGAGGTGTCTTGGCAGAATCATTTGTATGGCATGGGTTCTACAATCTTTCGCTATGTGGTTTGCCTTACCGCAACGAAAGCATATCACTTTCTTTGAATAAAGTTAGGTTTGATACTAGGTCTATAATTATTATTAGGAATATAATTGTTACTAAAGTGTTTATTATTATTGAATCTATTGACGTTTGTATAATTATTATTTCTAAAATAATTATTTTTCGAATGTTGGCTTATTTTTAATTATTTTATTAACTTCATTCTGGGTTTCATTTTCCAACGAAGACAGCGCGATCAAATCAAATAAATCTTCTCTAAAAAAATCGTCGCCAATGAAGTGTTTTATTAAATAAGTAAAATAGGTAAAGTAAGTAAAAGTATCTTTAATACAAAATATCACGTATATATATATAATGAATTCAATCCTTCAGATTATGTAATTTACAAACGAAAAGTTAATATTATATTCAATTTAAATTCAATTTACAATTACATTTATATTACACCTCTTAAAATGAAATACATGTGTTAGTATACCAAAAATATAAATAACGCTGGTTTATATTTTATCCAATGCAATATTATAAGATTGCCCATCTGGTACGTGCCAACAGTTCCACATAAATATCCTAGGTTATTTCATATGGTTCAAGATGAAATAAAGTTGTTTACAATAACTCCACCGGTTGTATAATAATTTTCTTAAGGTTAATTAAGTCAAGAGTTATAGCATAACCAAAATTTCATTTTGATTCATGGATATAACATATATTAATATAGCTCATAATTTAGAAAACATGTCTTTTAACTTTAATAACGTACTGAAACCTTCTAGGCGTTGTCTCGAACAATGCCTGACACTGCTTATATACTTCATTTCCCCAAGATTTTTAATTTATCAAGATAGAATACTTTATTTACCTTGCCCACTAAATTATTGCGAATACTCTATCAATATAAACTTAAATCCGTTGCCAAAAAAAAATTTGCCAATTCGATAAAAGTCCAAACTCTATTGCGAAATAGTATCGTTTCTTAATTTGGGTTAATAGAGATTTTTTCTTGGCCTATCTATCATCAAATTTGAGCTGATTTAACAATATAGACAACAAATAGTCTGATATTTGTTGTAATATGTAAATTTAATTTGAAATAAAATCGAGAAAAAAGAAGTAATATTCATATCGACTGTTAGGCAGAAAAACGAAACGAATCATTATATTATTGAGTTAAGACGATGTAAATGAATAGGATAGAAAAGTATATATAATCGAGGATATTTTACTTGTTAATAATTATTATTATGAAATTGCGAACATAATTTTTAACCTTTTAATTTTAAATTTTTTTATATTATTTTAATTTTAGTTATGATTATATAATTACAATTTATATTAATTAATAAAGTATTAGTAGTAAATTTATTTATATACTATTTATTTTTTAATTCTCAACTACAACATTTGTTACCGAAACATTATGTTCTATGGACATATTCAGTCTAATTAACGTTTCATTATTTGACAATATTAACAAAATCTTTTAAATGTTTAAATAGGAATTTGAAATTCTAAAATGGGTAATTTGTTAGAATTAATATGTCTATTTTAAAAGAAATTATAAATTGGGATATTTTTATAAGGTTCCTAGGTTTAATTAACTGATATTATAAAAAAATTAGATAATTGGAAAAAATAATTTTGATTATTTATAAGTAATATGAATAATTTTGAATATTTAAGAAATATAAATTTTGAAAAATTAATAGTTACAAATAATTATGAATAAATAAATAATTTGATCGAAAAATAAAGACGAGGTAATTATTCGATGAATAATTTTTTATATCATCATTTCTCATATTCGATTTTATTTTTTGATTTAAATAATTGTGTCGAATCAAATCGCATTATGAATGATTTATTATAATCCTACTTTTTTAAACAAAATGATGACATATAAAAATAGGATTTTCATTTTTTTTTAGAAATATTGTCAAAAATATATATAATATAATTATTCTAATTAATTTATAGCAATTAATTTTCATATGAAACATAAAATGGCCATAAAATATATTTTCCTTAGATAAATATTTATACAATGAGCTTGGTTGGAAGGACTATAACAAAAATCATATCTCTAAATACTTCAATTCTCAAAGTTAACGTTAATTTATGAATCATGTACTAGGTGAAATTCAGATCAGTGTTATTTCGAGATGACTATTGACTTATATTTTAACTTATAATTTTTTGATTAGCTTCTTCAATATCTGCCTCCATTTATTTGATTTCCCTATTAATTACTTAATTTAAACTTTATTAAAAGGGTTTAATATCTTATGAATGACAGATAATCGATAGAATTAATAGTATATAATTTACCAAATTTAATGTTCAGAAATATTAAATTACCTTCAATATCGGAGTAAATTTTAGATCCATATATCAAAATATAGAAAATCCTGGTGTAGCGATTGAAATCTTTTTTTTAAAAAAAATACAGAATAGAGATGACGAAGAAAAAGATTTCTGAAAATTTTTATTTATTCTTTAATTTTATAGATCGGTTTTATTAAAAATGTGTTAATATTTTTTATATATAATATGGAAGAATTTATTTATATTCGTTATCATATTTTTTGATAACATAAAAAAAAATTGCCTCTCCCCCCGCCAAATTAAAATTATGCACTAATTTTATTGAATTAATTGCCAATCTAGTAGTACATACATATAATTGTCATTTATATTTTAAATGTTGCATTTTTATACGGATATTGTAGACAGGGCTTTATTTTAAGTTATAGAATATAATAATTATAAATCTATTTGAAATCAATAATAAAATAAAATAAAGTTTTCGACAATTCTTTTAAGATCAAATGGTTTCGGAATAATTGAATAAGGCTAAGCAAAATAATCTTTTAAATATTAGTGAGCATATTTTAAATAAATTTAAATGTTAATTTTGAATTTTATCTATCAAATATTTTCTAATTTTGAATATATTCTACAATTAATATTTTTTACTAACATCTTTAGTAATTTAATCATCTATCTTGTACAGAATTTTTGACTAAAATTCTAACATTATTCTAACGATGCTTTAGTATTTCAAGAAAAATGTTATTATAATTTCCCATATAAAATGTCTGAACCTTTTTTCATATTATTTTCTATGCAATGGTGAAAGAAAAGCTACATCAAACGCGGATTTATGATAAGGAAGGTTTCAGAAAGAGGGCAGCATGTGTTTGTGTTAGAAATGATTCCGAATCAGAAGTATTATTGAATATAATATAGTTTATGGTTTATAATTTATAAAAAACTATAGATACATATATATAATTCTTCTATATTAATATGAATGGGACACATTTTTCTCTTATTAAACACTTCAAAGAAAATAAATTATAGAATATTAATTAAAATGCTAACACACGTGCATAGTCAGTTGGGTTTGACAGTGGGAGAACCTCCCCTTCCCCTGTTATAAAAATTTAAAAGGTTATAATAATGCAAAGTATTCTATTTTAAATAGGTTATATTCTATTTTAAACATTAGCAAAAAAATTAAAATTAAGATAATTATTTAATATATTATCTCACAAAAATGCAGTTTATTTTCTTACATTTTTAAAACTGTAATCCAAAGAGATGTAATTATTAGGATGACTTCTTATTCTACAGGAAGAAAGAAACTACTCAATAAGATAAAGCCTCTGACATCAAGCTGTTACAGCATTTTTGGATCTAGAAAAGTTTATTTTGAATGCTTTTGGAGAAATATCAGAATGGCCTGAATCTGATAGATTATTAGATTCAATCCAAATGTCTATTTTTTTTGCTTTGTAATGTATTAATAAATTATTTAATCACACAATAATTTTATGCAATATTTTTCAAAAAAATAGTAAAGATTTGGCTGAGGTTATGAGAATTGCAAATATTATAATACAACTTAGAAAACTAAATGAATGTTGAGTTAAAAGCAAAATTATATCATTTTGAGATTTGCAAGCCTCAGCTTTCACCTGGACAAACTATGTGTTCTAATATTAATGTTGAATCAATTGAGGATTCCTGAAATTTTTTCCTAAATACCCGGTCTGGGCTATATATTTTAAAATCAAATATTTGAAATCACCATAATTAGCTCTAAAAATCAAAAATAAATATAATGTATTTTTAAAAAGCTGGGCTAGGCCTAAAAATATAAAACTCGGGCCAGTCTGAAAATATTTTTTCAAAAAAAAAATCTGGACTAAGCCATGCAAATGGTAACTCTGCAGATCTCTGCTATAAATACAATATTTTTATTTAACTTTTAGACACATAAATAAATCAATTAACAATTTGTGATTCATCAATTTACAAATAATAAATCAATAACTCCCATCTTATGATATACTAGATATGATATTTAAAAAATTAAATATTTAGCAAAATTTCATTGATTATAGAAGGTCAGTTAATTTCACAATTAAATCTTGGTATTAAATATTAATTTTATTAGATAATCTTCTAATAAATACTATGGAACATTGCATACTTTAAAATATATTTTGGATTTTTCCAAATATATTAAATATATTTTGGAATTTTTCCAAATATATTATGTATAATTTGAAATTTTTCCAAATATATTATGTACACTTTGGAAGTTACCAATTAATAGAAGTACATATGAAAAGACCTGTTTCTTCGAATAAATTAAAAGTATGCACTTAAAATCAATTAAATGGATTAGTTTTCTTAATATACATTGGAATTATTGAATATAATGCAATCGCAAAGAAGATTTTGAATGCTATTTTGATTAACTTTTGAAATCACCATAATGTTTTATTCTATATTTTATAATGGTTTAGCTATAATATTTTTAGCATTATTATTTAAAAATTATCATTTTTTAAAAATATTAATAAATTTTGTATGATCATTTTAATAATTTTTACTCCATAGAAAATCATTTCAATATAAAAATATATCCCATCCCCCTGTAGAAAATTCCTAACTTTGTGCTTTTGCAAACATAAATAAATCAGAATATAGAAATATATCATACAATTTTATCATATTTTGGTATAGTTTGATAGGTTTTTTTTAAAAAAATTGTTATTTTTTCAACTTTGATATTAAGCATGTTTTTTTATATTGGAAAAATTTAATTTTGCTGATATGTGTAGCTCAAGACTGTTCAAAGTATTCTTTTATTTCTTGAATAAAATATGAATGTATATTAATATATTTTCATCATTTTTTACATTAAAAAATTTTTGATGTGGGTAATTCCATGACAAATCTATCAATGATTCGGCCGACCATCTCAAAAATGAATAAAACTTTGCATGTTAGTTATTTATGTTGTAAATGTTAAGAAAATCAAAATTTTAGAGTGCTAGCTCAACCAGATCCAAAGATATACGCCTTCAAAGTCGAAAATCGCGAAGTGCGTGATTTTGCGTGATTTCTTTAAATCGTGTTTTTTAAAAAAATACCTAAGATAGAGTTACAAATTATATATCATTTTATAGCCCGTAAAATTTTACATTGGAAAATATTTTAAAAAAATTGAAAAATTTCAAGTGTTTTCTTATTTCCGGTAAAAATAAAAAATTAACATTGTTAGGAAGTGATTTTTTTTGGGTGTTAATATTCACTAAAAATGTTTATTACCTTTATATTAAACGATTTATTAAAAAATCTCGATAGCCATTTTTGTTTTTTTAATTTTATTTGAATTTTTATTATATAAATAAAAAATATGAATAGTATTGTGATTAAAATTAAAATATCAATTGAGTATAACCAAGAATGATGTCTTGGGGCGATTTGTAAGCAGGCAGCCCATACAGATATTATTTTATTGACGCTATATTGTAAAATAAACATATTTTAAAATTTTATATTCAAACTATTATAATTTCGAGCTTATTAATAGAAATTCCTAAGGCCATAATTTATAGATATATCTTTTCATGTTGTGGATCTACTATCGTTATTATTTGAAAATTTAATCAGCTTATTTTATTTTTTATACCTATCATCGCTACCAATCAATCATCATATATTTCATATAAACATTTTTTACAACTGAATTTATGATAATTTTTGATTTCTCTGAAAATTATACATTTATAATCCAAGACGCTGTTCAATAATGTTATTGCAGTACATTTATACCAGACAAAAATGATAAAATTTTTGACTAATCAATTCAGCAAAAAACCAAACAAAATATATTACTACTCTGGTGCATCAATATAAAAACAGAAATTTTTTTATAAATCTGTGTTATCATGAATCAGATTTTGGTGTAGCAGCTGAATGGCATTTTTCAGCTACATCCCATGGAAAAGGTCTATGTGACGGCCTTGGCGGAACATTAAAAAGATTAGCAGCGCGTTCAAGCTTTCAGCGCATCAATTCTGGACACATTTTAACGTCAATTGATTTATATCAATATGCAAAACAAAACATGCCATCAGTAAATTTTACATATATAATCAACGACTAATACAATTTACAAGAGATTAAACTACGAGAAAGATTCAATTTAGTTCGTCCCATTCCAGGAACTCGGGAAATATATATTTCCTTTGAGTTTAAGTAAACTTAAATCAAAAATATATTCATATGCAGAGGACTTTAAAATTAACAATAGCTCAAATGCCGATAATTTGTCTTTTGCCGATATTAAAGGATTCTTAACATTGTTTATGACGATTTTTGGTGGTTAGCCACAGTACTAAAAAAGAATGAAATTACTGAGGAGATATATATTTCCTTTTTACATCCCCATGGACCATAACCATTCTTTTACCCCACTGCGGAAAAGATAGGGTTACCCATTAATCAAATAATAACAGTAGTAAATCCTATTACAGTGACAGGACTTACCTACAAATTATCATCTCAAGAAATTCTATTAATAAGAACAAAATGGGATAAGATTAAAACAAGTGGTATTTTTTTTTATAATTGTTTGTGTATAATAAAATATGTTTATTTTACAATATAGCGTCCAAATAAAATAATATCTGTATGGGCTGCCTGCTTACATATCGCCCCAGGACATCATTCTAGGTTATACTCAATTGATTTTTAATTTTAATCACAATACTATTCATATTTTTATTAAAAATTATATATTATTAAAATATTTTAATATAACCCCATCTATATTACATTTTTTTATTTATAAAAATAATAAAAATTCAAATAAAATTAAAAAAACAAAAATGGCTATCGAGATTATTAAATCGTTTAATATAAAGGTAATAAACATTTTTAGTGAATATTTACACCCAAAAAAAATCCCTTCCTAACAATGTTAATTTTTTATTTTTACCGGAAATAAGAAAACCCTTGAAATTTTTTAATTTTTTTTTTATATTTTCCAACGTAAAATTTTAAGGGCTATAAAATGATATATAATTTGTAACTCTATCTTAAGTATTTAAAAAACACGATTTAAAGAAATCACGCACTTCGCGATTTTCGACTTTGAAGGCATATATCTTTGGATCTAGTTGAACTAGCACTCTAAAATTTTGATTTTCTTAACATTTACAACATAAATAACTAACATGCAAAGTTTCATTTATTTTTGAGATGGTCGGCCGAAAATCTTGTTTTTTTTGTCGATTTGACGTGGAATCACCCATATGCAAGTAAAATCAGTAGATGTAAACCCTTCGACAAAAAAAAGGGTCTGAGTTTAGGTTCAGATAGAAAAATGACTCAAAATAAAACTTTTTTTCATTCATTTATTATTATTCTTTAATATATACACATTCATGATTACAAATATAAAATAATGAAATAATTTATATTTTAAATGTTTTATTCAATTGCACAATCATAATATCTTCTAAAATATTATCCTTGAGATTTCCACGTAAATTAGACAATATATATTTCAAAGATGAAAATCCATGTTCTACACTCACCTAAAATAGATAGTTATCTTTATAATACATAAATTATTGTACTTGTGTCGCTGATACAGCCATGACTATTCTAAACAAGATGTATAATTCAGGATATGTAAGAATTTTCTTCCCAGAATTTTAAAATATTTGTATCATATTTACATAATAAATATTATTACCTACACTAGAAAATAATTTATGATATCAATCTCTAAATAAAATGGAAGTCCAGGACGAAAATTGGAAGGAAAACGCGTAGATAAATAAATGATTTCATGAAAAAAAAGTTAATAAAATATAAATTTTTTTTAACTTGAACCCTCCACTTTTAAAAAGGGTCCGGGT